CTGTTGTGGTACGAGCTAACTTTTCCAGAAAACTATCGATTCTCTATCGATTGGACGTATGGGTGACTTTGGTGCTTCGACGAGTGCCCAGTTGGCAAGGAAACTTCCTGGTGTACCGAAACGGACGCAGATTGTGTCAAGTGGAAAGAGGGCTGCGTATCGAACGCTATCAGAAATGCCCGATGAAGACTGGGGAGTGCCAGATGTGTGTCTACAGAAGACTGCAGAGGTAACTCGATTTCACTCTACTTTTATCGAATAAATCAGGGAGCAGCAACTTCTCGACGTTAACTAATCATGCTGTTTTTAAACGTGAATCTGCAATTTGGAGTAGGCTTCAGGCTAGTTCAAACTATGGATGTGTTGCGGTTGTGTTTTTCGCTTTGGAAAATAGGCACACCAGTATCACCATCTTTAGCTCCTTCGAAGCTCCACTCTGGAGGTTTTAGGTTATGTACATTATGGAAATGAAGAATTGTCGAGCAGCAATGGGTCAACTGAAGGTGATGACAGATGGTAATCGCAACTGGGCGCTCTTTTCGCCTACTGATTCTCGAATGCCGCGTATGATGATACCTGCTGATCAGCTGCCCTCAGGGTTCTTCGAAAGGCCGCAGGTAGGGAAGTTTATATGTCTACCACTCTTCTTCTTTTTTGCTAGGCAGATGAGCTTTGGAAAAAAAAGCTTGCTTTTAAGAAATAAGTTGTCGCACATTGCCTTGTGGCTCCGAGATATCTGCTCAGCTGACTTGAAATGAGTGTTTAGGATTTTGCAAAGTTCATCTTTGTTGCAAGAATGGTGGAATGGCAAGCAACGGCGCAGTTTGCAAGAGGAAAGTTGGAACGTACGCTTGGTGTGGCTGGAGATGTAGAGGTGATCAAGTTCAACTTTTGGTTATTTCGTCTATTTCAAAGAAGTTTTACGGGCCACTTGGAAAACTGTGGATAACGGGGGGGGGGGGAGAGACCTGTGACGCGGCTCTTGTTGCGTAGCTCTCGACGACGACAGGTTTGTGAGATTCGCGGTGAATGTAACGTCCACGGTTAAGCCGAGTTTAATCCTTCCAAACCGGTCAGGTCCTTCTTAGTGTCGTCCATCGCTAATTCAGGCTTTCGCGCAACTCCAATTTTGTCTTCACAGATCTCTGAAGAGGGGGGTCGTACTTGGTAACATAACACATATTGCACTTATTTTTCGATATTAAAGATTGGCACTGTTTCACACGCGCTATCCACATCATTGGAGTATCCCACTAGGAGGGGGGGGAGCGGTCGTGATTGTGTTGGCTGAGCAGAAGGGAAAAAAAAATCATATTTCCCTTTGGAAAGAGTTTTTCGCAGCCGTGAAAAGTTCCTTGCTGTTGGGATTGATCAACAAGTTTTAAGGGGTTGAGATTTTTGTCTGTTTATATTTACAAATCAGGCAAAACAATGGCAATGCAAGCTAATCAACATATAATGACCATCCTAGTCATAATTGCCACCGTAACAGGCAGTAAGGCCAGCCTTCCCAGAACTGGGGAGATTGGGAGTCAAAGAAGTCACCGACCACTTGTTCAAGGTGGTCATAGTTGACGAATCGTTTTTTGCTAGGAAAGCCTTGAGGGGCCGGAACAAGTGGTAATCTGAGGGGCAATATCAGGTGAATAGGGTGGATGTGGAACCGTGTCCCAGCCTAGCTCCTCCAATTTTGCACGGGTCTCTTTACCTATGTGAGGCCTAGCGTTGTCATGGAGGAGGTGCACAAAAGTTCGTCTAGGCCGTTTTTCAAACGGCTTCCGCAAGTTTCTGCAGCTGACAAGTCGGGAGCAGTGACGGTGTGGCCTGTACAGAATTCCTTCTGAAATCCCAGAAGCAGCAGAAGAGGACCTATTCTGGGGTGGAGGTCGGATTTGGCGTGCGTCGGCAGCTGTTCTCCTCGCGGGAGCCAGACGGCGCGGTGCTTGTTAGCGTCGTAGAGGATTCAGCTTTCATCTCCAGTAACTAGGTCCTTATGCGATGTGGTGAAGACAGGAGACTGACAAATGGATACCCGGGTGTGCCGCATGCTATCGGTGAATGCATGATGTATTCATCGAGTGAGCACTTTTCTGTAACCGAGGGCCTGAAGACGGACTGACGACTGTATTGGCACACCCAGAGTCCGTCGCGAGAGGCTCAAGTGTTAAAGGCATACAGTTCGCGACGCAAGTGCGGAAACGGAACTCAAGTAAAGCAGGCAAAAAATGCGAAGGTATCTGATGTAGCTGACGAAAAGCAGCAGTAAAGCAGTCCCCGCAATTGTTATGAGAGAAGATAACATAGTGGCTACTAGCTAGTAGCTAGCAGCCGTGAGGGTCGGCATGGGCCTAAGGGGTGTCCATGGGCCTAATTAGCCAGCTTCTAGCGGAGTTCTTGCCGTTTTTCACATTTTGAAAGTAGCGCAGCCTCAAAAATCGCCTTCCCCGGATCCGAGTTATGTTGAGAGGTCTAGTGAGCTTATTTTTCGGGAATTGCCTTTAACTTCGGATGCCTTTGAACGGCGGTCGAGAACGACGGAGTCGTCGACGGCTTGAGGAGCGCCCGACCGAGCTGTCTACGATAGTCGTGTCTCTATTCTTGAAGCGAGGAGGACACACGATGGCCCTAGCGATGCGGAAGTGGTTTTCCTCCGCCCCTCCCTCCCCAATACGCTGTGATGTTGCGATTGCATCATCTTCTACGAGTGGCGGTCGCTCACGGTGCCGCGGCAACCACTCGTAGAAGATGATGTATCGAACATGGTCTAGTGGAATTTACTGGAATTGAGTGATTCAAGCTAAAGGGAAGAAGCGCGCCCATATATACCCATTACGAGAAGGTTTATTGTAATCGATCAATCAACCTAAATAGTGATTCGTACGACCGCCCCCCGCCTGCCCATTGGATTGGGATGAGTTTTCAGTATTAGTGCAAAACCTGGGTTATCCTGCTAATCATTATATTTTCATGGAGGCTGAAACTGAAGCCTCTTGTTCGCGAACCAATGTGAGATACACGTGAATTCTCGTATCGTGATGGCAATCTGTTCTCGGCGATCTTTCGAAACGAAAACAATGGATTCTATAGATGAGGAATCAGGTACCTGCATATTGACCTTCATGTTCTGCTTATGGTTTTATCCTGACATGTGTTATAAAAGAGTCTGATGAGTTTTGAAAACAAGGCGCGCTAGAGTATCCACTCCCAGGTTTCTCAGTCACAAGAGAGCTGTCATAGTGGTACCGCCCGGTTCATATCAAGCGCCGTTGGAAACGCAGGTATTCCGCAGGAGTGAATTGGAGTCTGATCCTGACCAGGGAATTATCGGCTATTCCATTTCGGCGCTGGTTATGAACTTGTCCAACTTGGAGTTACGAGTGACCAGCGACGAGTGTAGCGAGTCCGCCGTCTCAAGGGGGCTCTCAAAGTTCACATTTTACTCAAATGGCTGCTCTCGACTTCTTTCACCTTAAGTTTTATTGATCAAATGCTGTTTTTAGAAAGAATTCAAGTATCGTCGTGATCTTCGTGATAATGTCGTCTTCACCATATAAGCGCAAGGAATTCACATGAATTGGATGATGCATTGTCTATCGAAGAAATCAGTGATTGTGATGGCAATGAAACGCCTGGCTTCGAGGTATGATGGTGCTCTATGCAGGAGTGCTCTTATACTTACTGAGAACTCCTCAAGGGTCCGAATTCTCCTGAAATTTATCGTTCAAAGTTACGAAATTTATCGTACAAAGTTACAATTGCCTTTATTTTAGCCACCCGCTTATGCTATATTTTGCTGGCCTTGACTGTGCTCCTTTAGATTGGTGTCCATATCGCGGATGTTTCCCACTTGTTTCGAGAAACTGAACAGACACATGGGCGCAATAGAGCCTCACTGTGAATCTTCGTCAATAAGGTTGGTTGCTGAAGCTGACCCATGAAGTTTTTGTATCCACCCTGTTCGCATGACTTTGATCTGTGCGGAGACTTCAGGTTAATGATCGTTTCACTTGTAGTCAATCCCGATGCTGCCGAGAGTACTCACCGAGGACATGTGCAGTCTGATTCCTGGCAAAGATCGCCTTGCATTGTCAGTAATGTGGAAGATGGATAAGAATGGTGCTATAGTCGAGGAATGGTTTGGCAGAACAATCATTCGTTCCCGAGTTCACCTTGGCTATGACCACGTGCAGGTAAGGGCTTTCTTGAGTATTTTCCAATCATTCTGCAGTGACAGGAATACCTGTGGCAATGGACCACTGTTTTGTCATTGTTTATTTGTTATTTATTTAGGACGCGTTCATACTTTGCGACTGAGTAGATTCGGCAGTCTGGGAGATCCGGCAATTCAGCGATTTGGGAGATTGAGCGATCCGACGATTTCAGAGACTCGGCGATCTCACAAAACGCGCGATCGCCGAATCTTCACAATCGTCAGCAACCATCACGATATCGATACTCATCCACTTCTTTAGCGCGCGATCGCAGAAACGCCGAGTTTCCCAAATCGCTGGATCGCTCAAAGTACACATTCGCCGATCGCTATATTTTCCTCCTGCGTAATCTCGGATCGCCGCCGAATCCCCCAAGTCGCCAAATTTCCCTCATTCGCAAAGTATACGCGGCCTTCCACCTACAACACGTCCATTAGATGAGCCAAGGCAAAGACCCCAGTCAGAAAGAACAACACAAACATGTTATTCCCCTTTAGGCATTGTTCACTGTCTACGCAGGGATAGCCGAGTGGTTAAGAGTGTAGACTCACGTTCACACCCTGAGCCACGAGTTCAATCCCTGCC